AAAAAAAAAAAAAAAAGAGAGAGCACACCAATAAAAGTAGGTAAGACACATTGGTTTTTTTTAGCCAAGGCCTTTGATTCTCCCACTTGTGACAACCTGGTGATGTTAAAATCAAAAGCTCCTTAAAAAAATGGCTATACATACATCCAATGCTACACGATCAGTGTTGAGCATAAAAAGCAGTTGAATAAATAGACATTAGTACTGTGGTGTGTGGAAAAAAAAAACAAGGCAGATGGAAGTGTGAGAAAACCGGACAATCTCCTCTACGTAGAACAGAAGAAGAAAGTTCAGAGCAGCGATAGTGTTTGCGATTTTCTTTTCAGGAAGAAAAATCCCTGGAGAGGGAAAAATTACCTTTACTTTAGCTTACCTTTACTCTCTTTGTCACACCACCTGTGACCCTCTCAACTCCACACTGCCACCTATTGACCTCCACATGTTCACGTTTCCCCACTGTGGGTCCTCTGCGGCAGTCTCTTTAGAACACAAGCAGGATGAGTGAAGGATAATTGGTCGGACACTGAGTCAAAACTCCACCCTACTATTTCGCACTCTTCTTTGGCGCAGCGTTCCTCTTGGGCTGCCACAGGTGGTTGTGGATGGTGAGGGCGTCCACGCTCACTGACACGGTCTTGGCGGGAATGATGGTGAATTGCTTGCGGTCCGAGCTGTACTTGTACAGTTTGTCGATCATCTTCTTGCTGATGCTCTTGGGTCCGGTGCCCGTCAGCTTGTGGATCTCCTCGGTGACGGGGAAGTATGAGTACAGTGCCCTTAACTGGCAGCCGCCGTCGCGGAAGAGGATCATCAGATGGTTGGACTCGCATTTCTCCAATTCCTGGGGAGGAAGGTCGGTGTTAATGGTTGTTAAAAGACAAAGAGGAAAAACAAAATACAAAGACTGAAAAAAACTCCTGTGTCAGCAACAATCTAACAAACCAAAAATTGTAAAAGTTGTAAAAGTTATGAGTTCAGATTTATTTAAACAGTTTCTCAAAGCTAGCACAGTCACATGATCGCACATGTTGTCGGGGCCTTAATGGAGCGGACGCTGGCATGAATGTTGCCGCTGCTCACCGGCTATTTGTGTTTTTTACTTTATTTTTTTTATTAAAAGGCATTCTCTCAGCTTCACAGCACCAAAAATAAACCAAACCAAAGTTCTGCCTCTTAAACTCCGGCACTTTTGTCCACAAGTGCACGGGCTAACACTGTTAGCTGAGGCTAACTTCGGTAGCTGAGGCTAACTTCGGTAGCTGAGGCTAACTTCGGTAGCTGAGGCTAACTTCGGTAGCTGAGGCTAACTTCGGTAGCTGAGGCTAAC